GCAGGGGGTTGTAATTATCTGGATTGAATTTCACGTTGATGGTTTTGCTGTATAGCTTGTTTTGAGTATCCGAGGTATGCAAGGGGCAAGTAGGCTGCCTCTCGCTTGGCCCAGGGGCGCTGGTCCCGTTCGGGGGCTGTGCGTAGGGCTCCCTCCTCACTTTGCTGCTTGTGTGGGGGTTACTCACGTGATGGGTGATGGTCTAGGTTTGCTTTGAGAGTGTCTCTCACGTGTCATGGCACCTTGAGCAAGCAAGTGCCAAGGCTGTGCTTTGGGTTTGCCGGGGAAGTAGCTTAGCATGAGCTACTTAGGTCTGAGGTGTTTTTCAATGTGAGTGTTTTTGTATCATTGATGAAGGTTTGCCCTGTTAGCCTATAAAGGCTTTGCTCGGGTCTGCAGCATGTGCTGTGGTTTCCAGGCAAATTAATGCAGTCCATAAAAAATATGTGCGGCCCTGGCTAACGCCGTGCTGTTTCCCCCCCCCGCAGATTGCATGATGAACATTCACAAACGCTGCGTGGGCAATGTACCCAGCCTCTGTGGCATAGACCACCTGGAACGGAGCGAGCGATCGGTGTCTTGATCAAGAACAGCATGCTGCACGTCTCCGGTGAGTCGCCGCCACAGCGCCCTGTGCTGAGTGGGCACACATGTGATCGCCTGTCAGATGCCGAAGGAGCAGCTAATGGGGACTAAATTCAGGGACTGACTGAAGACGTATATTTATCCAGTTACAATTCTTCTGAATAACTTAAAAATAATTGTAATAGCTATGGTAAAAAATTTTATTTAATTTGCCTGTTCTACCTACGTCATGTGGGTTTCCCCTGGGTTTGCCAGTATCTAAATAATCTATTTGTGTGTGTCTTTGTGTCTGTCTGTGTGTGTGTGTGTGTGTGTGTGTGTATGCAATGTGATAATAATCTGTTATTTTGATGTTTTTGGGGACCGTTTTTTGCTCAAAACTCAGTTTTATAAAAATCTGTGATTGCAATCAAAAACCAAAAAATGCCAAAAGACATATTATGTTTGGTTACTTATGGTTCAGGTTAGGGCTGGGTAGGGTTAGGGTCGTCATTGCTGGGATTGGGGATATGCATGTGTGACTGTCCTGTGATAGACGGGCATCCTGATCACGCTGTATCCAGCCTTGTGGCCTGTGCTGCATGAGACAGGCTGCAGGTCCTGTCTAGAATAACCAGCTGGATAGTGGCTGAATACATAGATAATATTACTACTAGCCCTGATAGATACATAGGTAATATTCACTTTATTGCACACCCCCCACTCTGTAGCTCAGTCAGGATCAGCCTTGGGGCTGGTTTAGTTGTAGCCCCCGCTTCCACCTGTTTCTGCAGGAAAGCGACGTAGCATTGAAGGGTGCGTTTTTGCATTTGCTGTTTCATTTCTGGGTCCAAATGAATGGAACTTAATTAAATGTGGGGTGCTGAGACTTCCGGAAACAGCTTAAAGCTAAATATGAATTTGTGGGGGTGTTCTATCAGCTTATCGGGAAGCACCCGCCACAGATGAGCAGGCTGTGACGACACGGGTGACAGAATAAGCGTTTCGGCAGCGTTCAGCATGGCGAGTGACCTGTGGGCCTCCATGCCGGTGTTTCCATGGCGCCACCTGCTGGCGGCTCTGGCCGTTCCACCCTAAATGAGACCGTTCACTTTGGCCTTTAAAATGAAAAGCAGGTGGCAGACGGCGCATGCGTCGTGGGAGGTGTGAGCAAGCCCCCCCCCCTTGTGGGCGGAGCATATGACAAGATGGGCTGGCTGGAGAAACATGAAGGGGTAGGAAGTTTGGTTATATAAATAGGGGAATTTTACACTGTTTTTTGTCAAGTAACACAATGTAAAGACCAGCTTGTAAGCTTTTTATCAAAATGCATGAAAACATACATACATATACGTTTTCACTTTAGCTAAAGCGTTTTAAACACACGTTCTGTTAGATTTCGCCTTCTAATAATAGATGACAGTGGATTTACATAAATGAAAAAGGTTGAGATTGGAGTGGAAGGAATTGGTGTTTTTCTGTGGTGAAGCTCACATTTTTGTACGTAGTGGCTTTTATTACTTGTCAAACTCACGCGTGAGTTGTGGCTATTTTACTATCTCTTGACAAAGTAGCATATGAACCGTGAATATACCGGAATGTAACCTGAATGAATATTGTACATAACACCTTTTTAAATTCACTGCTGGGCATCGAAAAGCTGGCTTTTGTGGTTTTTCATGGTGCTGTAGAGAGGTGTGAAATTGACGTAGCACCTTCCACTGTCGTTCTGTAAAAATGCTTTTTATTTGTAATCCACACTGTTTACCTCCCTAGGTCTCGCATAGTAACAGGACAGAATTCTAAGCTTCTGCTACTGCCTAGTGGGGGAATAAATGCAAAACACAGCTGAAGATGGAAGTGAAGCCCCCCAGATACTGTTGCACATCCACTAACAGACCGGAAGACCACTGCAGCGCCAGTTTTATATGACAGATTTTTTTGCTATCTGCTACATTCTAATCGATTAATGTGCAAAAAAAAAAAACAGTAATTTTTACAGTTTAATTTTTACACTTGTTTAAGTAGCATGTATGGGAATACTACACCCTCTGCCAATTAATGAGTTTTAAATAACATTGTACCGTTAAGGAATGATTGCTTAAAGGAAGGTATGTCTTTCTACGTAGGTTATGCTACTGCTATATAATGTCTGTTTAACTCAAATTTCTCTGAGACGATGCTAAATATTAATGGAAAGGGTTAAGAAACACTATTTCGATGTCTACCTTGTTTGTTGGTATTTCCTCTGTGTTCTTGACACAGTACTTTAACAGTCATTGCAAATACTGACTTACTGTCTATCAGTTATGATTATGGTGTTCATGTGCATTTTTTAATTCATACCTCTTACAATGTAATGTATAATCAGTCACGCACTTGTATCTTGTAAGTTGACATATAGCCTGAAATATAGCCTTAATTTCATTACAACCATATGACCAAAATGTTTTTTTCCCCTTCATTTTCACATGGTTTTGGACAATAAAAAGTCTTCCTTTTCAATAGATGTAATTTATGTATATAATTTTAATTGTTACTTCAATGCTTTCACTATGTCACAAGTGTTACACCCAACAATTCAAGGTGGTCTATCTTAACATCAACATGAACACACCACAGTCTACAGGCCCCTGCTGTTGCGGAACATCCTGTAATGCAGTGTGGTACTAATGAAGAATAAGCTGTTACAAACCCAATATAAATGTAACAACAGAAAATACTGAAATCCACTCTACCATGTTTTTCAGTATTTTCCAGCTTATTCGGTTTGCTAGCTTGCTGCGAATCTGCTGCATCTGTGTAGGATGCCTCCTGGGGAGGGTGTTTCAGGCATGTCCAACCGGGAGGAGACCCCGGGGCAGACCCAGGACATGCAGGAGAGATTATATGTCTCAGCTCGCCTGGGAACGCTTTGATATTCCCCTGGAGGAGCTAGAGGAGGTGGCTGGTGAGAGGAAGGTCTGGGCATCCCTGCTTAGACTGCTGCCCCCGTGACCCAACCCTGGAACCCAACCACAGAAAAATGTTCAACAGTGACTTGACACCTGTAGTGCACTAAGTTTCTGGTACAGTGTCTATCCAATCATTCACTTTTTATGTATGGCATGAACCAATGTGGAACATTTAGTATCGATATGGTAAACAGTACTATTCCCGTAAGCAAACACTGATGTGCAACCGTGCAGGCATTTTGTAATTAGAATAAGCACAATGTCCTTTGATGCCACAACCACCTGTTAGTGAGTATGCTTTGTTATGTAATTACTATTTAAGACGAGGTACACACTTATTGCTATACAAATGTGTCATGCACACAGTATTAAAAAGTGTTCACTTACTAGGCAGAGTACATTAGATAAAATACTTTGTGTACTTGGAAACTGGAGAACTAGGAAGCATTCCAATGTATTTATAGGGGCTAATATTATGAAATAGATAAATGGTTTTTATTTGCCCAAGGACAGTGCTTGGGGTGGGTCACAGCATAGAGTCAACCAAGATGTGGTGCCCCCGGAGCTGGGGGTTAAGAGCCTTGCTCAAGGGCCCAGAGACATGTGACTATTCTGCAGAGGCCTGGACTCAAGCCAGCAACCTTCTGATCACAGGCACAGATACTTACCCCACTGAGCCATTCACCACCAATCTTCAATGTAAAATTTAAATACTTGACATCTCATAATGTATATTGGAATGCTTCTCTTCGCCTAACCCCATCTTGCTCTCCATATCTTTCGGTTTCCAGAATAAAAAGCGATATAAAGTCATACCTCTAATAAACGCTGGCAAATTGCATCGCTGGAGTTACAGTCAGTTCGCCCACGTTCCCCCTGTCGCGTGCCGATTTGAAATCATGATGTCACCCGCTACTTCATAGTTAGACTTTCTCAGTTGTTTTAATGTCTTTCTACAAAAGTGTTGAGGTAAACAAGACATATATGAGAAAACATCGCATGCCTTTTTGAGGTTTCTAAAGATAATTAAAATTATTTAAGTTATTTAAGGTAATACATGATTGCTGGGTAAATACAGAAAAGGGTCATATTGCTTATACAACATAATCTGTATTATACGTGATGATTCACAGGTCTCCGCATATTAGAATTTCAGGGGGCAGCCCTAATGAGCTTACTTCGGTATTTTCCTCGGAAAAGAAAAACAGATGAGGCAAGTAAACAGCAGGAGTTTAGTTAGTTTGATGCGACCACACGTCTTTCTCCTCGCTCTCTTACACCAGTTCACACACACACACACACACACACACACACACACAATGAAGTCCACTTATATATCACCATTTTAACATTATGTGGATTATTCCTGAGGCAAACAGACACCTCAGTCATCATCCTGCCAGTCATGTGGATTATGCCACATGGTTTCAACATCACAGTGAGTATCTTTCTGGATAAACAACTCGGGATGTAATGTCAACAATGATGGACTTGACAAGACTCTGGGGTGATATCATCATAGGCTGCAGGCATTTCCTCAAGAGGACTCACTTGCTCACATGGGTTCTGATCATACACCCTACCATTGCCAGCTGGAAAAAAATTCTCAGATTAAACGATCATAAAGCTCATCTTTTCATCATTTTTAGGATTAAGTCGCCTCTCTCTCTCTGCATTTCAATCCCATTTTTGCTGCCACTGGCTCTGCCCTAAATATATTATTAATGTGTTAATTTGTCTGAAGTTATGAAGGACACTGGTGGTTTAAGTTGAATGCATTAATTAAAATTTGAAAAGATTTTTACAAGGAAGATTTATGTTTAAGTTTGGCAGGTCACAGCTGTTCTGGAATCATGTCACACATTCTTACATTTGAGGAAATAACTTTGTTAGACTGTCTTTGTCTTAATTTCCTTCCAGTGTGTTTTCATCGCCTACAAGATAAACTTTCATTCACGTTAGTCCACCATGATTTAACAAAGTTGTCCCATGAGCTGGAGCCAGGTCTATTAGACTTGTCAGTGGCTGTGGCGTCAAGCTTAAATACCCACCTGCCCCCACACTCAGTGGGAGGTATTGTTGCCCTGTATGAATGTATTTACTTTGTCCTGTCTTCCTTCCCATATGCCCGAGCCTTATCAGTCCCAGTTCCTTTCCGTTCCCGTTTCCCTCGGACTTGCCCGTTGTCTCCAGCCCCAGTCTCGAATGCACTCGTAGGACTGACTTCCCCGGCTTTCGACCCACCTGGACCTGTGACACCGGCCAGCCTGCTTGCTCAATGATTCAAGTTCTTTATGCCTGGATTCCGAAATAAACTCCCTTCCCTGCATATTGGGTCTCCTTGCTTCTGTGCTTCCTGAGTCTGACAAAAGTAATTATATTCTATTTTCATCTTTACTATGTGCTATTGACATGGTGAGCTTGTGGCGTTTTCCAGATGGGCACTGATCTCTGTGGTTTTACACATCAGGGTCCTGATCATCCTAGCATGTATACTCCTGTAATTGATACAGCTGATCAGAGACGTAACTGGAAATTCTAGACCCCCTTACAAAATATCATGCTGCCCCCCCCCCTGCCTTGGATTGATACTTTGAAGAGATACAGGTTGCATGGTAGACAGAACCTACAAGGTGGGGTGGGGGGGGGGGCTGTTAAATTTTGTCCCTTACGGTAGATTCTGCTGTGCCTGTAAAGTGCTGGGCACCTTGAATCTGCCAGGGTATCCGTGCCCCTTTGACGTCCCTACAGTTGATGTCCCTCAGGTGCTGAAGCTGGTGTCTAATGATGCTACATTGCATATGTATTGTACCGCCGGTGGGAATTGCGTATCCCAGCATGCCTTGCGGACCACTGTAAATAACTATTTGTATGTATTTGGTATTGTAAATACTCGTGTTTAAGCCCACGTCAGAGCCACCAGCAGATGGGCAGAGAAATGATGGAGAGAAGAAGGTGCCACCCCATCTTGTGGAGGACCCTCGGGCCCACGCAGTGCACCCTGGGGCCACCTCTGCCAGCTCACCGGACCCACGCAGTGCACTGCGTGGGTCCAGTGGGCTGGCAGCATGACTGGCACCCCTGCCAGCCCACCGGACCCCTGTCCTGCCGCAGTGCGCTCTGAAGCCACTTCTACCATCCCGCTGGCTTCCGGTCTGAGATGGCCTCTATGACCAGGGAAGGTGGAAGCTCCCGGAGGCTCTTCCAGCTCGCCAGTTAGCAAGGGCTCCCTGTCTGAAAGCCGCAAGGAGCAACGCGACCCCAGCTGCGAGAGCGCCCCACGGAGACAGCAGGCTGAGGCTGCTCTCCTCAATCGCAAGGAAGTGTACTGCACACTGGAAGCCCAGCTGGCCCAGGAGCGGTGGGAGCTAGAAGAGCAGCAGTGGCAGAGCCAGTTGGACCAGGAGCAGCTGCTGGAAAAGCAGGCCAGCTGGGAGCTCAAGCGTGACCGGCAGAAGCAGGAGGTGAAGGCAGCATAATCGATGATAAGAGCGTCCTTGTCATTGGCTGCTACAGCGATGCCTTAGTCTGCCAGTTATTACAGTAAGAATCAGACAGTTACTGCATCTAAGTTGTATACAAATGATGGTGAATTACATATAATATAGAAAGGAAAATTTACAGTACAACCACATTAAAGTATTATATATCGATACCCATTCTTTTCGCTGATTAGCTGGAATACTCAACATGCTAATGCCAGTCAGTAATTACAAACAAACATATTTCCACATTTCTTACACTACCACCCAGGGGCGTTGCTAGGATTGTAAGACATCAGGGGCTTATCCCAGAAAACTAATCTGTCGAAGGGTCCACATATTGAATTCTCTCTCTCTTAAGTTATGTTTACTGTAGCACTGCAAAGGTTTTGGGAATCACAGCCCTGGACTCGGACTTCGTGATGTATAGAATTCTCAGAGTGAGTATAATACTTGTTAAAACATCTGAGCTAAACAAATCATTCAGGCCCGGATTAATTCGTCGCAGAGCCCAGGATCGTGACGCGCCCCAAGCGGTATAATCACACGCTGGTCAGTTGTGTTGACAAATGCATTGAAATTGTATGCAGTGTGAGGACTGTCTGTCTATATTGTGTCTATTGATCGACTTTGTAGTCATGTCATTGGACTTGCGGCCGCATGTCTTGGACACTCGGGTGAAGAGAGGGGCGGAGCTGTCAACTGATCACTACCTGGTGGTTGGTTGGCTCCATTGGTGGGGGAGGAAGCCCGTCAGGCCTGGCAGGCCCAAGCATATAGTGAGGGTCTGCTGGCAACGCTGGTGGAATCTCCTGTCAGGAGGAGCTTCAACTCCTACCTCCAGCAGAGCTTCTCCCATGTCCCGGGGGAGGCAGGGGATATTGAGTCCGAATGGGACACGTTCCACGCCTCCATTGTGGAGGCGGCTGACCGGAGCTGTGGCCGTAAGGTGGTCGGTGCCTGTCGCGGCGGCAATCCCCGAACCCACTGGTGGACACCGGTGGTGAGGGATGCCGCCAAGCTGAAGAAGGAGTCCTATTGGACCTTTTTAGCCTGTGAGACTCCAGAGGCAGCTGACAGGTACCGGCGGGCCAAGCAGAATGCGGCTTCGGCGGGCGCCCAGAAAAAAAACCAGCGTGGG